CAGCCTGTGATTTTCAAGTACATGGTCAGCATGGACCAACTAATTGACTAGATGGACCACTGCCAACAGGAGCTGGCTTTCCACCGCAGGAGGTCAAGGCCTTCAGCTCACCTTGGTAAGTCATCAGCCATTGCAGACTTTAGTTCCCAGGAGCTTGCACCAAGCAGCTGCATATTCATGAGACTCCTGTATCCTCAGCACCAAGGCCACAGCCTGGAAAGTGCAGAAATGCTTTTCCCTGGGGCAAAGAGCCAAGGCAATAGTTGCTTCTCTTTGCTGAAAGCTGTGAAGGGTCTGAAGTCTCTTCCCAGCCTCATTTGGGAAATTGAGCAATAAAGACCTCCTGATGAGGCCCTTAGAATGTAGTGTTCATACACTATGAGGGGCAGTGTTGCCTCACTTGTGTTTTATCTCAGAAAAGATTGCTAACAGCATGGCTTAGTTTTCTGAAGGTGATTATTCCATGAGATTCTCTCTCAGACTGAGTGCAATTAGTGTCTTGGATAATTGCTAATTAGAGAACAGAGTTGGTGTTGTACAGTTCTTTCAGGACTCCAGGTAATTCTGTGGATGGCTGTTTGTTTATTTTTAGTCTACCCTGTACAATTCTGTTATGAGTTTTGTATTTTCTTCCTTTGAAGTCATTAGATTTGTGACTATGTCCAACCCTGCTGCCTTGATGAACCTCTTTGGTTTTCTGGAGGCTGATCTGAGTTCTTGGAGGTCATATGTCAAGTCTGTCACTCAGCAGCTGGGGTATCCTAGGATCTTTCTGAATCTTCAGAGGTAAGACACCCATCTCTCTAAGATTTATTAATGCAGCATCTATAAAGCATGTTAAGTAAATTCTCCTTATTCATAACTCTGCAGTGTATTGAAATTATAATTAGTGCTGGGAAACTTAGTACTTATTGTTAGTCAATTTCTACCACATAGATCACTGACTTAAGATTGTATATTCCCAGAACAATGAGAAAGTTGGYTCCTGGAGAGTAAATCAATGCTATAGCACAAAGTTAGGTCATTTAACCAGAGAAAATGAGGCAAATTGAGTAGTTTTTTTTTTCTTCTGACTATTATTTAACCAATAACAGTCAGAAAGAAAAAAAAAAAACATCACCCAGTGACTCAGGGAGTCAAACATGTTTCCCCAACATGTAGTCTATTCCAGAAGCGAAACATTGCCCAGATCGGTAAAGGATTCCTGCACGAAGGGTCATTGTGTTCCTAGTGATTTGCAAGTGTTTGTTTAACAGATTGTCACTCTTTCTATATAAATATTTAAAACAACAAGAGYGACACAACCAAGTATTTTGTTGAGCTTAGGAGAAAAAAAGAATTTTAAATTTGTTAAACACTTTTTAAAGAAAATAAAGGAAGTACATCATACATACTCAAAATATATGAATTTCTTACATGCGATCTCTGGAGAATTTTTAGTAGACACTTAATTCAAACAAATTTGGTTGCAGGCCCATGTATCTCCAGAAGCTCTAAACTGGAGATAAGAGAGGCAGCAAGTGTAGCCTAAAATTCCTTCAGATCCTTGCACTAATTGGCTTTTTATCATCAATAGATGCAAATAGGTGTGCAGAGYGTGGATGCTACCCTTGTGCAGAAGGAGTAATGCCAACCAAAGCCTTCAACTGGAGCCTTCCTGAGGATGCTGCAGAGAGAGCACCTCAGGATGCCTGTGATACAAGGAGCAAATAGCATCAGGGTAGATGGGCAGATGACATTCAAGATACAGTTCCATTTTATTTACAGAAATTTTTATGAAAACAAATTYTCAGGAAGTACTGGAAAACCAATACCTTGAAAAATTACAAGAGGAGACTCAGGAGCAGCAAGACCAGAGCCATAGGTTAGCAATTTTTTCTTTTTTTTTTTTTTTGGTTTTGCAGCTGGCCTGGGGAGAAAAGGTTGGGCACCAAGAAGGTGAATCTTTATAGTACCAAATAAAGAGACAAGCCACGCCCTAGAGGAAAAAGAATAAGCATGTATCTCTAAGTAATTTTTAACACACAATAGGAAATGTCAGTGTTATAAAGACAGTTTCCGTCTTCCAGCATCTTCCAGGTCTCTGTATTAGAGTTTCAGGGACACAACTATGGGTGGCTGAGGAGGAAGTGTGACAATGTTGACACAGTGGGGAAGTATTTAGTCACCACATTGTGAATGCTAGGGTTACTGAGGACTGTACCTGTGGCTGAAGAGAATCTACCCAGGGCCAAAATACTTGAGGAATTAGAAAGTATTCCTTTTTCATTGATACCTTTCCTATTCCTCTTCATTTCAGCCTCTGATTCCTTTTGATGTCTTTTTAAATCCTCCCTATACAAATCCTGTTGGTGAAATAAATCTTGAATGGAGCCAAAAGTATTGTGTACCTTTAAAAATATCCATTTGTGGGAGATCAACCTTGCTTGTGACCCAGTCACTCCCTCAGCTGGGTGATGGAGGCTTCAGGCGGCAGATGTCCCTAGATGCCCCACCCTTCGCCCCACCYTTCTTGGGTTCAAAGGAAGGTGTCCTGCATGGGTGTGTCTTGCTGTAGCCCCATGGGTGGAGCTATGCTCGCCTGTCCCTTTGTAATATCACCCCTTGCCCTGTTTGGGATAGAATGTTCCACAGAAACACCTTTTGTGTGTCCCCTTATCTTACTGTGCCCTTGGGTGTGGCCTACCTAATGTCAGTCATCCTGCTGACAGCAGACATCATGAAGCTAGACGCAGCCCCCTGAAACCTGACCCCTTGCCTCATTTGAATAGCTTCTCCTCAATAAAAGAGGTCAGCACGTGGGGCCTTGTGCTCTCTCTCTTGTCTGTCTCTCTTTCTGCAGACCCTTAAGGTCAGAGGAGCCGTCACAGCAACCTCAAAGAAAAAGGTATTTCTGTCTCGTGTGTGGTTATTTCGAGTAGCCCAGTTAGCCCAGTTCCCCTGGAGTAACCCCTGAGCATTTTAGTCAGGAACAGAAATCCAGCATTCATTAATTCTTAATTTATAACTGAAATTATAAACTTCAATATAAACACAAAATTGTTCATTTATATGTAAGAATTTCTTTGCTGTTCAAATTTATGAAAGAACAAATGTTGAATAATTATGTTTTTAAAATGGAATTTTGGAATAATCTATGAAATATGTGTTGAAATTTCTGCTTCCTAGAGATAAGTTGGCAGCACATTTTAAAAAAAGGAAAAAGGTGGTTGGTACTGATTCTTTGCACATGCCTCAGCCACTGGCCCAGGGCTGGGTGGTGCTGAATGAAGTTGGTGTGTTTGTAAGCTGGTGGTGTTGTCAGCAGAAGCAGAGGGCTTCTTTAACAGGGAGCCATCATGAGTAGTGCTGCTGTGCATTGGAGAGAAGAGGAGTCCCATTCCAGATTCTCAGTTGTGGCCTAATGGTGACAGCTGATGGGTTTGAAAGGACATGCTGAAAAGGACAAGCATTTTTTTAACTGATTTGATGTCACCTCCATTTTACCTCTCGCCTTGCTTCTCTCTGAAGGGGGAAGTCCCCCTTCCTACCTGTGAGCCATCCACTTTATAGTCACCCTCACTCTCACCTAGACTGGGGATTGCCAGTGTCTTTAGCATCAAGGTGAGGACCTTAGAGTTGAGGTGGCCTCCTTCTCTATGGCTGAGTTATGGTGGCCCTGAGGAGGTGGTACTGGAGGACTGAGAAATGTTTGGTTGAATAGTTAGGAGCCCAAATTCACCTGCAGCAGGAAGGAGGTCAATCTCCATAGTTTCCAAATAAAGAGCCAAGCCATTTAGTAGAAGAAAAGGCACAAACATGTGTCCCTAAGAATTTTTAACACACAATACGAAGTATCAATGTTACTTTAATGAAAAAAAGGAAAAGAAATCATATTTTGAACAATAACTTTTTTTCATGGCATTTTATGATCTCAAACAGAATTTAGGTTCAGTGTATAAATTAGTCTGATGATTATTTTGGTGACAATTGTATTTTGAATTCTATTTCCCAATAAATTCTATAATTGGAATCTTCAAGTAAAATCTGTAAGTATCATGCCTGAATGAGTAAAGACTCTTTGTTTATATTCTAATAAAAGAAAAAAAAAAAACAAGGTAACTTAAGTCTCAATATTAATATTTTTCAAACATTCAGAAGTCCATTAAAAAGTATGCTGTTGCAGAGTTAAAATGGTGATCATTTCTAAAATAGTCTATATTTTACGTAGAAGGGAGTAAAGGAATGATATGGGGAGGCAGGCAGTGGGGGCCAAATAGGTCTCACCTTTAGTATACTTGTCTTTCAGATGGAACCCCAGTGAGGCGGTAGGTTGGAAGAACCAATGAAATGCACACTTACTGTGAAGCTTCCCTGCCTGATACTCAAAAGGGTACTTGTGAATTAGGGGGGGAACTTCATTGATTCTCAATATCACTGCAACTGTGATGCTGACTGGAATGAATGGTGATTTCCACATGCTTTCTCTGTGCAAACTGCAATGTTTTATTGCTTAAACTCTGTGCCTTAGGCAGATATTAGACAAGATACTACAATAAGAAGAATAAAGAATTCCCCAAGAAGTTAAAGAATGAGCTTTTTTGTGTATGTTGTCGTTTATCTGAGGCCTAAAATATCAAGATGGTTATTTCAATTTACCTATGAACAATTATGTCTATTTTATTTTTCTATTTAAACAAAATCAAATACCAGATTAATGTTCTGCATTCAGTGGAAATGAAATGTCAGCCTTCTTAAAGTTAAACTGAGTGTCCATGGCTGATCTTGAGTTGTTTTTTAACCCCATAAATCCTTAAGTGACCACATGAGGGAAACTAGAAAAGTCCTTGGGTCCATAAAAGGGACATATAGAACTCAAAATTCTCCCTACAGTTGTGGTTTCAAAAGGCTACAAACCCAATGAAAAGGTGAACAAGGACAGTTAGTATATGAGATAGAAAAAATTAAGTCTGAAACCTCATGTCTATAGATGTGCCCTTACATAGATTTTTAATCAAATTAGCAATACATAAATGGTCTTAGAATTAAATTACCATGGCCACAGGTTGGTAGCACTAACAGCTTGTCATAGAATTACAAGATATTCTTACTGAGGGTCTGCCCTCCTCCTTAGCGCAGCATCACAGGGTTCTCACAGATAAAATGCCTCCAAGTATAAGCTCACACTCCAGTATTACAAAACACACAAGAAAGTGGGAGGGTAGAGAAACCACAAAGGGGAGACAGGAAACTTATTCTGGTAGCAGGAATCTTTTCTGTGCTCCTTCCTAGTTTCTCATTTTAGGCTTGTGACTCCATCAGTTCTCTCCTGTCTTTCCTGCACCTGGTTTGTTTGTGGGAATTGCTAACAGCTGGCTTGTTGCATTCTCAGTACTTGTTGGCAAGCCTGGTTTTGCCCAAATGGGTCTTCATATCACTAGAACTTGTGCTGATAGACTGAATGCAAAGTTGAACACCTGTCTAGATAACACTACTTTGCARCACATGATGGTCCTTGATCACCATCAAATGCCAGATGTGACAGTGGTACTGAGATGCTGTTAAATTGTTACCTGACAGGGGTCTGAAGAGGTCCCTCAGAAGAAGGGGACCTCAACCCAACCTGATAGGTTCTTTGTTTATACCAGAGAAAAAAAATTTCAGGATGTGTCAKAAAGAGTCACAAACAGAAATTATTTATTTGGGAAAGCAAGGAATACACACTTCTGC